GGGGGGGGGGGCGCCAAGGCCCAGAGCAAACTCATTCCTAGGCCCCAGACTGTGGCCCCAAGCCTGCTGGTGTCTTAGCCAATGGTGTTTGGGAACTTTGGCCAATACTAGGGTCTCTAGCAAAGGGAAGGAGAGACACCCCCTCTTTCCGGAAGAGACCAGCCCCACATGTCGCCATCAGCCCTTGGGCAAGGCTGACTGTGTAGTCCCTAAAAGGGACTCCCGTTGGCAGAGGGTGAGAAAGGAGACAATGGCAGGGGTCTGGAGGTCCCTAGTGCTGGTGGTGGTCTTGACTGCCGTCACCTGTGAGGCCCGCCGCCGCCGGAGCTATGAGAGCATCGTCACCCAGGCTGTGCAGTTCTTCAATCAGGGACGCATAGGGCAGCCCCTCTTCCGCCTGCTGGAGGCCACCCCGCCATCCAACTTGGTGAGTGTCCACAGGGAATAGGGTAGGAGGTCTACTACCTCCAGAGTGACCCAGGCCATTGGTTTCCTTCTATGAGCTAGGGACGTAAGGGAGCACCTTCTTTGGGGAGTGTGGTGAAGGCAGGCAGGCGTGGGACACGGCTGGTACTATGACGTGAGCTCCTCTCAAGGGACCATAAACAAGATGCTAAGCTGGGGTCTGGCAGCTGCATGGAGCTGTGCCCCACGATCCAGCGTGGGATCTGGGAGTTCCACCAGGGAGTGAGCTGGACCCCCGGCGGCTGAGTCTGTGGGGCAGGGATTCATGTTCCTCCTTCAGAGATGAGGAAACTGAAGGGCAAAGGCAAGAAGCGACCCCCACCCCTTGCCCTTGAGGTGGAACAGCTAGCTATTAAGGGATGTCCTGAGGCTGGTTTCGGAGGGCCTGGGGCCTAAATGCGTGGTGGGAAGAGCTGAGAGGCACAGACCTAGACTAAGCCCCTTCCTATCTCTGTCTTATCTGTAAAAGAAAGGTGGTAACTCTTTATTCTGTTTGTTTTCTGTTGCTTCTGCAGACCTCCCCCTTAAAGATCCCTCTCAACTTCAGGATTAAAGAGACCGTGTGCCTTTCCACCCAAGGCAGGCAGCAGCCGCAGGACTGTGCATTCAGGGAGGGCGGGGTGAGTATCCCAGGGGCGTTCTCCAGGCCAGCACTCCCCTCACCTGGCCATGTGGCCTTTGAACAAGAACTCAGTCCCATGGAGGAAATCCTGACTCAAACCCTCCCTGTCACTCACTGCTGCCATCAAGTCCACTCTGACACCTAGTGACCCCACAGGACAGGGTAGAACAGCCCCTGGGGCTGCTGGAGACTGAAACTGTTGACCTTGCACTTAGCAGCAACCACCAAGCCAGCAGGGCTCCTAAATTGACCCCCCAGGACAGGGTAGAACTGCTCCTGTGAGTCTCCGTCGCTCTGGCTCTTTAAGGTACCAGAGAGCCTCATCTTGCTCTCAGGGAGCAGCTGGTGGGTTCAAACTTCTGACCTTGTGGTCAGCAGCCCTACACATCACCCTGTGTGCCCCCAGGGCTCCCTTGAAAGTGGAAGCCTTGACAACATCAGAGTTACACTTATTGGTTTCTCTTATTATCCGTTATTATCCATCACAGTCAAAGCGAGGCATGAAGAAATATGCATGAAAAGAATCGTGGCCATGCGAGGGCGTCTGCCACCCAGAGGAAGCTGCTTTTTAAAAAATAAAACGAAGACAGTCACTCTGGATGATGATCAGAAGTTTAGAAAATGTGGAGAAGCAGCATGAAATGACATCCCAGTCCTACCCCCCGGGGGGCAGGCAGCATTCATAGCTGGGGATTGTCCTTTCTTTTGGGGGGACAAAAACATATCTTTAAACAAATAAGGTTTGGGTGCCTTTGCCCTGTGATGGCTTGTACGCACATTATTTTCGTGGGTGTGCGTACAGTCAGGTAAGAAGCCCTGAGGAGTGAGCAGGTTGTGCACTGGGCTACGAACTGCAAGGTCAGCCGTTCAAAACCACCATAGGGGAGAGGTGAGGCTGTGGTAGGAAAGATTGACAGCCTTGGGAACCCCACGGAGCTGTTCTACTCTGCCCTGTAGGGTCCCCGTGAATCAGAATGGACTACTCGGTGTTTAGTCTGGTGGAGCCCCTCCCAGGAGTCCCAAGGCCCCACTGGAAACCAGCACCCGGCTGCATGGGAGAAAGACAGGCAGGGCTTTCTCCTCCCATGAAGTTACAATCTCTGAAACTCAAAAGGGGCAGTTCTGCCCTGCCCTGTCGGCACTGACTCGAAGGCAGAGCTTGAGTTTGGGGGTCCTTCCCAGAGAATTTCTTTCATGCACTTTACTCTGGGGGTCCCCCTCTGCCATGCACTTGTGGCTTGAGGGATGATTCTGTAAGATTCCACAGTGGGTGGAAGGCAGGCACATTCCCAGAACTGCTGGGCTTTTTGGGAAGGGGTGTCGGACCAGTTCCCAGCCTCTGCCCCGCCCCTGCAGGAGGAGCGGAACTGCGTGGGCGTCTTCCAGCAGTCGGGCTTCCTCCGCTTGCTGAACATCGACTGCTCCAGGGACCTCCTGCAGCAACAGGTGGGCCCGAGGGGCTGCAAAGGGGCACTCTTTACCGAGGAGAGGAGGGGAAGGGAGAGGCCCAGGGTCCGAGACGGGGCTGCTGGGGTGTCTGGGAATATTCAGGGCTCTTAAGACCTGGGTGTTAGGCTGGGCTCTGACACCCCACCCTCCACCGGACTCCTTCCTTCTGCCCCCACCTCCCCAATTCTCGCTTTGGGAAAATTGATATAAAAAGTGGAGCCTCCCCGCAGGTAAGTGGATCAGCCAGGGCTGGAATGAGTTCCCAGAGTCCAGGCCAGCAGAGACCACCTCCAGCACCCTCCCTACCCCATTGTCCTCTGTCCCTGCACTTCAGTCTCAGCAAGGAGGGGCCGTGGGGAGATGGGTCAGGGGACCACCAACACTGGTATCACTTCTGCAGGCCTCCCGGAAGAAGCGCTCTGCGGAGGCGGACCCAGAGACAAGCACCAAGCTGCCACCTGTGATCAGGGACATGTACGAGAAAGCCAAGTACGACATCATCTTCAACATCCTGAGGAATTTCTAGGCCAGAGAAAGGAGGGAAGATCCTGTACTTCTACCACGACCTCTTGCTCCCCACCTTCCACCTCTCTGCTTCCCCAGAGCTGCTCGCAGCCCTCTTTCCTGCTCAGTGTAGGAGGGGGGTTGCTCCCCTTAAAGGGCCCTGAAAGCCTAGAGTCAGTCCCCGTGTCTCTGCCTTTAAACACCAGCCCAGTCACCTCCTTCAGGAAGCCGCCACCCCTGCTCTCTCTGGGCAGAGGCATTCTTTTGCTGTGGGCGCACTCTGGGTCCTCAGATCAGGCTGGCATCCCCGGCCATGTCCCCTCTCAGACACCAGGGAGTCTGGGCCCCTGAGCACCTGCAGGTGGCTATGGAGTGAGTTTTCAACAGAATACTGCTGGCATCCTGGGAGGGTGGCTCCTTGTGCCCGTGCCAGTCACTGTGCCCAGTCACTGTCATGGCCGTTTGTCCCTTTACTTATCCCTGGCCCTCCAAGGAGGTCTGAGAACCATGGGAGAGAAGTTCAATAAAATGTTTCTGAAACCAATGACCCAGTAAGCGAGTGGATTAATGAAGCGCCAGAGAAAGGCCGGGCAGATGTCCGGGAGACTTGGGGGAGGAGCCCAGTAGGGCAGCCTGTGGGTGAGAGGGGGTCCACAGTGCATCATGGGGTGAGGATAGGGAGCAGGTAGAGACATTGGGGAAGGAGAAGCCAGAGGGCTGGCCCAGAGGCGTGGGGAGGTTTCCTCAACAGCCATTTGTCCCTTTATGCCACCTTGATCACAACGTTCTGGCCACGCCCTCCTCCACCGGACTTGCATGTGAGACTCTCCCCTAGAAGCTCCCTGTAGATGCCCAGCAGCGTCACCCACTCAGTGCATCCTCTCCAACCTGGTGCTTCCTGCAGCCACCCCAGTCCAGCTGATGGGGAACCTGGGCCTCCTCCTTGTTCCACATCCTCTCACAGGCTACAGCCAACCAGTCCAGACAGACAGACAGACAGACAGACAGATACACTACCACCACCACCCTCTGTCACTGATGCATTCCCAGGCCCAAGAACAGTGCCTGGCACGCTGTAATTCTGTAAATGCTCAGGATGTATCTGTTGAGTGAGTGAATCAACTAATTTTCTACTCACTCCGAGCCTCTTCCTTCAGGAAGTTTCACTACTGAGTGAGGGCTCCCTCCTGCCAGGGGCTCTGCTCTGCTGCGAAGTCCTAGTTCCAGGGAGGCCAAGGACCCACCTCTGTTGAGGATGATGGTGGCCATCCCTTGCCCAATGCCACTTCTCACAAATCTCTCTAGTTCTCAGGATGGCTTTGCTAGCTGGGTGCATCAGCTTTGCAGCTCTCAGTGCGGAAGCCAAGTCTGAGGGACACAGGCCCTATAGGCCAAACCCTCGCCCCCTGGCCACCACCTAAGTCCTGGGGCTCCCGCACTGGAGGATGAGGAGAGGGAACTATTGGCGGCAGTGGCCCTGGGGCGGGGTTAGGAAACGGTGCAGGTTTACACAAGCAGGCCAACCTGAGGCTCTGAGGCCCCCTCCCCCTGGTGAGGCAGTGATACTCCCCTGGAGGTGACCTTCAGACTTGCAGCCCCTCAGGCTGTCCCACACGCATGCATATTCCCATGTGGGTTTTCACTCCTGGGAGACAGGACCATGGTCTCCTGCAGTCACCAGGCCCAGTACTTCGAGCTCCGCACACGAGGGGCCTTAGCTGATCAATTTCCCCTGGGAAGCCTCAGGGCCCATCTAGAGAGGTCAATGCCACATCACATCAAGTTTGGGGAAGATGGCCTACCGCGCTGTACCCTGCCAGGGGAGGCTGGTTTCCAGGGTCCTGTCACAAAGGCCTGCTGGGCCCCACACTGCTCCATTTCCCTCGCTCCCGGCAGCGCAGAGGTGGGGTGAGGGTGGAAGCAATTTGTCAAAAGGGGAACATGCAACATAGTTAAGCTAAATAAACTATGGGCATTAGTTCATAAAGGGACGAATCATTTAAGGTACAATGATTGACCTCTCCCCATTCTGAGTAAAGAAAGAATGATAAAAATGGGAAATACACAGAAAGTTTGGTGGACTAGTGGACCATGTGGACAGCAGTCTCCGTGACCTTGAGACCAGAACTAGATGGTGGTTACCTACCACAACCAACTGCCCCAAAAGGGATCCCATTAGAAGGTCCTGGTTAAGAGTGGGAGAACCATGTGGGACAGAACTCAAAACCATAGAAAAGACCAGGTGTGCTGGTTAGACAGGATGATGGGACTCCCCAGAGACGATGGCCCTGAGTCACCCTTCAGGTCTGCAAATGAATTTGGGAAACATCCCTGGGATATAACATTGGGCCACCTTTTACATAAATGTCAAATGCAATGTTGCATCAAGGAAAATGCTTGTGTTGGAATACACAAAGCCTGTGCAAGTCTGACGCAAGAAGACAGAGACGGGGCAATCGGGTGTCTGTTCACAGAAAGTACTTCACAGACATGCCGTTCACAGTGCTAGTTTGGTGGGAACGGATGGTTTTATTCTGTTTCTTCTTTTAATAAGTTGTTCTGAGCCAACCACAAAGATCTACATAGAACCGTCTCCTAGCAGGACAGACAACAGAAAAGTGGGTGAAGGGAGACATCGGTCAGTGAAGACGTGAAAAAATAATTGATAAATTATCAAGCATTCATGCAGGAGGGAGGGGAAAAATGAACTGACACCACGGGCTCAAGTAGAAAGAAAATGCTTCGAAAATGATGGCAACATATGTACAAATGTACCTGACATAATGGTTGTATGTATGTATTGTGATAAGAGCTGTACCAACCCCCAAGAGAGAATAAATAAATAAAAAGTTGTATTGAGACAATCCACATATCGTACAAGTCAATGGTCTAATCCCATTAGCTTTCTCTGATTCTTGCTAATAGTATTTCACTTTTTTTAATGGTTAAAATAGCAGAATTTATTACAAATGCATCCAGTTCTCTGTCTTTTTTTTTTCAGGGTCACTGCATTTTATTGTCCCCCAATACGGTGGTTTGTGTGTGTGTGTTTTTTTAAAAATAATTTTATTAGGGGCTCATACAACTCTTATCACAATCCATACATCAATTGTGTAAAGCACATCTGTACATTCATTGTCCTCATCATTCTCAAAACATTTGTTCTCCATTTAAGCCCCCGGCATCAGCTCCTCATTTTGTCTCCTCCCTCCCTGCTTCCCTCCCTTTTTTCCCCTTTAAACGCTCTTTCGTCATGGAGACTACACAGCAAAACCTCACCAACTCAACAGTCTGCACGTCCCATGTACCGTTCAGTGACGTACATGACGTGACGGTCCCCCTGGGCAATCACTCTCCTTTTCGGAGTGCTGCTCCCTCGGGGACGTAAACTCACCATCTCCTGGGGTCCTCGCTGATCTTCTGATTGCTCGTTGTCAGCGGAGGCAGACCTGTCTTGCTAGGTAAGCTAATGATGGATTGGTGGTGGTGGTTGATGCTTTTAAAATGGCACAGAGCTCCCTGGCAGGCCGGTTGGAGGAGAGAAAAACATCAGCTCAGAATCCTAGCAGAACAACAGACTCTGTGAAACCCTAAACCGGCAGCACCCAGAGGCCACGAGGGGGTGTTGGGGGAAGTGTGACCACAGGACTTAACCCCCGGGACTCGAGAGCCTATTTGAAAAACAAGCTTCTGAAGAAAAGTGCAGGGAAAAGAAGGCTCGGAAAGAGACGCAACACGGGAGCGTCCGTGAATTCTTGGGAATTCTTCATTATCTTTTCATCCCATTTTTGTCCACAAACTCTTTGAAGCCCCCTTCTCTAACCCAGGAGCCCCAGTGGTTATTCATTGGGCTGTGATCTACAAGGTCTGCAGTTTGAAACCACTAGCTGCTTGGAGGGAGAAGGATAGGGCTCGGGAGGTAGTCTTGGAAACTCACAGGGGCACTTAAACCCTGCCCTACGGGGTTGCTATGAGCTTAGTTTTCAGCTTCGTATAACTCATTTTTTTAAAATAAAATTGACACAGACTCTCAAATATGTGCATATAAAGACCCACTGCCTTGAGTCAATTCCGACTCACAGTAAGCCTGAGTAGAACCCAACACTTCCCAAGGCTGTACATCTGTAAGGAAACAGGCTGCCACAGCTGTCTCCTGCAGACTGGCTCGTGGGTTTGAACCACTGACCTTCTGGTTAGCAACCTGATGCTTAACCCACTGCATCACCAGGATACCTACATATCCCAAACCCCACTGCCTTTGAGTGAATTTTGACCCACAGTAACCCTATAGGACAGAGTAGAACTGCCCTGTAGCTTCCAAGGCTGTCAATGTACACAGCAGCAGCCAGCCTCATCTTTGTCCCTCGGAGCAGCTGGTGGATTTGAACCACCAATCCTGGGGTTAGCAGCCCACTGCTCACCCGAAAGTGCCAACAGGGCTCCTAGATGTGTGTAAAGGGTTTGTTTACGTGAACGTAGAGAAAATAGGGTAGAAAGGACCTAACGGTATTAACATGGGTCTCTGGGTGTGTGGTGGAGGCTGATCGGGCGGTGTAGGAGAACGAGGGAGGAATCAGAGGACAGGAAAAGGAAAAAGTGCCTGCAGAGTCTGGGGAGGACGCACACTTCTGCGCCGTGGGAAAGGGGGGCATACGCATGGCAGGGCACAGGCATAAGGGACAGTTCCTACTTATAGTCCTCATCTAGCCCCGTTCAGGACTCCAGCTCAGGAATGGGCTTGGAACTGGCTCCAGGTGGTGGAGACCATGATGCCCTCAGAGCTCTCCCTACCCCAGCCTGCCCTACGCCAGGATCTGGACACCCCCACCCCCACCCCCTGTGAGTCACAAAGGGCCCTCCTTGGAGAAAAGACAGGGAGTTGCACTGAGAATCAGGGTGGTGCTGCCTTTATTTTTCATGACTTCACAGCTTTATGGAAAGCACAAAAATACTCAACTATTGATGCACAATCACTTGCACATACCCAAAGTGTACGTTTTGATGCTTGACACAGTACACACCTGTGAAACCACTGCCACAGGCAAGACAGTGACTACCCCTCCACCCTTTGTACCACCCTGGCACCTCCGACCCACGGATCTGTTATCTGTCAATATAGATGCCTTTGTAGTTCTGAGTTTTATGTAAATACAATCATGGAGCATGTACTTTTCTGGCAGGGGGCGGGGCTGGCTTCCTTCACTGAATATTATGGTCTTGAGATTCATCCACGTGTATCCTTTTCTGACTCAAGACAAATGTATCACTGTTCACCTGTGAACTCTTTTCGCTGCTTATTACAGAGCAGATCTCTTCCCCTCTCTCGGCTTTGGTTTGCTCATCTATAAAGCCGGGATAATCCTACTGTCTCCTCAAGCAGGCTCTTGGGAGCACTGCAAAAAAAAAAAAAAAAAAGAACAAAACATACCCCCCAGGAGGGTCTTGCCTGGAATGAAGGTGCTGGCTGCTCCAGGCCCAGCCTTGGGCCCACGTTTCATGCGTTGGGGCTGCGGCATCCATTGTAGCTCCCTGTGCTGTTGTAAC